TTATGCCCCTATAACACTCTGGGATTCATTTGAAAGATGCAGAATTGAGCATGGTAAAAAAGAATAACCTTGGTTGTGCACAGCCATAGTCTGTGCGTAAACTGCATATTTCAAAGAGCGCCCTCATTAAAAAAAGGTTGTTCAACCCACTCAATCGTCCTTAATACAAAAATGCATTATCGGTTGTGAGCATTGATCTCCATATACACAGACTGGATAGGACATCGCGTACGAACGTGCGTCCGCGCGCGCGTTTTTTGAAAAGGGTAAAGAACACAATTTCGCATTCGAGTTGTGTACACTTTCGAACGGAGGATTAAAAAATGAAGTTGGGTTTTCTTCGGTTTCTTTGTCATTTTTTGAAAGAAAAAAGAAACAGAGATCTAAATTGATCAAAATCGACGAGGAGTATAGTGAGGTGTGCGCAGCATTATATTGCTGGAGCCGGGAAGTAAGTAGCTTTGAAGAATAGGACAATTATTCGCAAGTAAGTTGTTTTTTTAACGAGGCCTATACAACATGGCATGGAGGAATATGAACGTGGGAATGACAAAGCAAATTATGATGTCGAAATGTTGCCGCTCTGAGTTTGGGGGGATGGAGGCCTGTGTGGTAGCTAGCGAGATATTCTGTTCAAATTCCATGCGATCTATAAGCCTGTCATGCTGGTCGGCATCATCATGTTTTAAAGACCTAGGCCTATGTCTTTAAAAGAAAAAAAAAATAAACTGCCTAAACGTGCATGACTGACCCGGCAATGGCAATGAACAAAAGTTGACTTGTTTAAAATAGTTTATTGAAGTAACTTTTATAATTTTTATATACAAAATCTGATTGAATTATGTCTGCCTTGGCTTAACGGCTACCGAAATGTTTCTATTCTTTTTCTTTATAAAGAGAAACCGAGGAGATGTCTTATGCTAAATTACTGCACACCCGGCCGATTGACCTTCATATCAAACAAACAACTTCAGCAAAGCCATAGCAAAAACCACCATGCAGCTGCAGGACGATATCCGAGACGGACGAAAATGGAGACTTCACGGAGGGATGGAATCGACTGTATCATCCACTGAATGGAACATGCGATGTGAATCAATTCTTAATCAATTCTTAGGATGTGGAACTGTTAACATTGATTGATTTTGTTTTTGGAAAGAAGCTGCTCCCCAGATGACTGTTACTTTTGACAGTTTGTATGGTGAAGAAAGCAATGAGTACTTTTACGGTTTGAACTTATGTTGTGTACGCCGTTATATAAGATTACTAGCTATAGACATTAATACACCGTCATATTCGCTCACAAAAAAGACTCCCATTACACTTACAAGTAATTATATTTCTTTTCAGAAGTATAGCTAAACATTTAATTATAAACAAGACCGTGCATAGCTTGATATTCCTTGACAAAATTAGAATTTGGGTTTGTGATTCATCTCCTTTCACACAATATCACAAGAGGTGAACGATGTCATTCCTTGATCAATCTAGGGACGGGAAGAAGTTTTTATGATTACTTTGTAAAATTAAGGTTTTTCTTACCTTATACATTCTAATTGGTTTATGTTCGGGTTTTTTAATAAATATATCAATCATTTGAATGAATCTCCATACAATTTCTCGTGTGAGTGTTCAGCTCAGTTAAAAATATGATGTCATTTCAGCATATTATTGATACAATTATTCATTTCATTGATGGAGTAGTTCAGTGTGCTCTAATGACCGATGTGCCCAAAATAAAATGGCAATTTACTTACAATCATTTTTGGGAAGAGGAGGGGAAAAAAAAACAAGGGGAAAGTAAAGGGGGGGGTTCTTGAATTTCGAAAATGCATAATAAGAAAGTGTTATATCAAGAAAGTGTGGAAAAGCTGTTTGGAGGGATTGAGGGTAACTCTTCATCATTCAGTTATTTTTTTTAAAGATTGTTTTGGAGGAACGCTTGAACTCCCTTCTGTAAGAAAAATTCCACACAATAGTCCATTTTCCATAGTAAACAAAGTGAAAGCACAATGCGCGTTTACCCGTCTGACAGTAAACGCGCCGCCATTGTTCGGCCGCGCATTCGTGCACAAACACGGCGCGATGTCCTATCCAGTCTGTGTATATGGAGATCACTGGTTGTGAGCTACAAAGCAGCCCCAGAGTATGGAAGTGTAGATAGGACATGGTTAAAAATAAATATAATTAGTACGTACGAATTACTAAACCGTACGTACGAATTACTAAATCGTACGTACGGATTAACCGTACGTACGAGAATTACTAAATAGAGAGGTTTCGCATGCGACAGATACGCGTACGCGTACGTTTTAGCTATCCGTACGCGTAAACGTTCACAGCTTATTTCGCAATCCGAACATCGACCGTCATTGGTGGCGCTATGACAGTCGAGTAAAATCCAAAATGGCAGCCTCCATCGACGATGTCATGTTCATGGCTTTAGAGGAAAATGACGAAGAAACTGTGTTTTTATTACTCGAATCCGGTGCTAGCACTACGACAGGAAGAGTAACATATGAACCTACCTTACCTAAGTTTTCTTTGGAAGCTTTGACAGATGACCAGTGTCTGGATATGTTTCGTTTTGACCGTGAAAATCTTCATCGGCTCTGTGCAGCATTTGGGATTCCTGATAAAATTATATGCCAGAACCGGACTGTGGCATCAGGTAGGCAGACTCATCCTTTCGGAAATAATTCCAAATATGGACATCACTCATTTTCCCCTACAGTGACTTATCAGCCTTCAGAAAGCGATAACGGGTTCTAAAAATCAAATTTAGCAGGAACAATTTTGAAGCATTTTGGCCTACTGTACTGAGAAAACAATTATAATTTTTTTCAGACCAGCAAATAAGCAGCATGACCAGTTTCAATCATAGGGTTGTGCACAGGATGTCAGGGTTAAGAACATTTTAGGTCCATTTGGGATTCTCTCAGATTGTGCAACTGAGAAACATCCTAAACATAAAACAGCGTTTTGATGGAGCTATTTTTTGTCCCTGAAATCAGTAAATAGTTTACTAGGACTCACATGTTTCATGCAGTGTAAAGTGTGAGTAAATTGTTCTTCACAAAACTGCAGTGCAGATTATGATTTTGATGAAAAGTCATATTTTACAATTTGTGGTCTTTATATCCAGACAAAAATTAACATTTTAAATAATTAGCGATTTCTTAGTAACAAAAAATGAACCGGAAAATGTAAAAATTTAATCACAATTTGCAATTCAGAAAAAAGGCACGTTTGAAAGTAAACCTCATCTTTTTTATTTTTCCTCCTGTCTTATAGGTATGGATGCGCTGTGCATCTCACTTCGACGATTTGCATATCCTAACAGATTATCTGACCTTGAGAGAGTTTTTGGACGCCCCAAGTCTACCCTTTCATTCATTGTGAAGGAAACAGTCAATTTGCTCCATGCTCGCTTTAAAAACTTACTCCAGGACATCAACCAGCCTTGGATGCAAGGTGTAATGCTGCAGAGATATGCAGATGCCATTCAACAACATGGAGCTCCCCTCGATAATTGCATAGGATTCATTGATGGGACAGTAAGACCGATGTGCAGACCAACCCACAATCAACGTGTGTGCTACAATGGACACAAAAGAGTCCATTCTCTGAAATATCAGTCCGTCATGCTGCCCAGTGGAATCATCGCAAACATGTATGGGCCTGTGGAAGGCCGCAGACATGATTGCGCCCTCCTGCGAATGAGTGGCCTACTGGATCAGCTTCAAGCCAGGCCCCTGTACAACGTCAATGGCAATCCATTCAGCCTATATGGAGACCCGGCATATCCAATACACAATAATCTCCAGGGTCCATTTAAAGGGGCTCACATCACCGCAATGCAACAGCTGTACAATCAGCGGATGTCTAGTGTGAGAGAGTGTGTAGAGTGGGGATTTGGAAAGATGCTGTCCCTATGGGCTTTTCTTGACTTCAAGAAGAACTTAAAACTACTGTTGCAGCCAATCGCAAAGTACTACATAATAGGAGCTCTGTTCACCAACTGCCATACCTGTTTATACGGCAGTGAGACATCTAATTATTTTGGATTGCAGCCCCCAAGCTTAGAAGAATACTTGATCTAAAGCGTCTCCTCACAGTGGCTGGGTATTGCAATACAATGTACAATTCAATGTGAATTCAGCAAATTCATTGTAAAAAAATTGTGGTTGTACTTATGTATAATTTCATCAACTGATTTAAAGGGTTAAGTTATAAGGCCTAAAAAAAATAGTTGGTCTCTGGTCAGACCAAATGTCCGAAATTGATGCGGCGACGCGTTTTTTTTTGTTTTGTTGGTTTTTTTTTCATTTTTTCAAACTTGGATTGTATAGACAAGGTGGGTACTATTTTTTGCTCTTTTGTGTCCTCATATACATAGGTGTCCTCCATAATTTGCCTTTGTGCCCTCCATCATTTGCCTTGGTGCAGTTTCCCCATTCCCTAGTACAAAAATGTGAGGAGGTGCGGCAATAGAGGGTGCTGTTGTAGCTACCACGGACAACTTTAAGAGAAAAAAAAGGTTGACGTGCATGATTAAAATCGATGCGCGCGGTGACCAGAGAACGACTATTTTTTTTTTTGGCCTTTGATCTGTTTATTAAAACCACTGACAAATTGCTTCAGAATAGAAAGGTGCTTAAAGTTGCCCCCCCCCCCTGTTTCCCCATCTCCCCATCTCCCCTCCCCCGAGGTTCTCAACATTTTTTTTCCCCATGAATTGACCTTGGTGATATGTGGCCTTTTTTTTAGTAGTATAAAATGGGTGCAAGTGCCACTGTTACCTGCCAATGCTACCCCCTCCCATTTTGTTTTAGTGATTAACACAGATACTGTCAAAGTGGAACTTATCCTCAATTTTGTCTGAAATTTCCCCTTGTCCCTCACTTTAATAACAAAAAGTTACCTGATCAGTACGATTATGTTAACACTTGGCAAACTCATACAATTGACTCGTCAATAAAAATGCTAAATGCCAGAAATACATTGTAACAGCCATTATTTATTTAATGGATTTTACTTTTATTTGTTCTGAATTATACTTCACACTAAAGAAAATTAAAGTCAGAGCAATTTCCATAAGTCAACCACTGCCCTTTCATTGAACATTACTATGCATTGAGCATTTACTATGAACCATCCTTTAGATTACAATTTAGATTGCAAAACTGTTTCAACAACAAAACTGTTTCAACAACAAAACTGTTTCAACATTTTTTAGGTCTCAACTCTCAATGTGATGTGATAAAACTGGACGAACTGTCGTGTTGAGGTAACAACCAAGAGAAAGAAGGAAGTCATTTGATTTAATCTTCCTTCTTTGTTAGTTTCAGCAAAAGGTGCAACACTTGTGAATCATATGCCAACTTGGCTTGTCGCTCTTTCTTCTCCAGTACAAAACGTTCTTTGTCTAGCTCAAGCTGCTGCTGTTTGAAAGCAAATTCCTTCTCTGTCTTCTCCTTTAAGTACTGGATGTAGTCGGAGCTTTCAACTTTCTTGCGTTTCTTGAGTGGAGAGGGGGTCTGCATCCTGGCTTCATCTGAAGAAGGAGAGTGGAAGTCACTTTTTAAAATATGCAGAATATGATGCAAAAGTAGTCATCACTGGGAGGGGATGGATTGGGGTTGGGGGAGGGGAGAGTCTTGTGCCTTTTCACTAAGGAAGGGATGGATCCACTAGTGATGGTACATGTAGATGACACAGAAATACATGCAGAGTTGGGGGGGGGGGGGGGCAATTCAGCGGTGGCATAGCAAAAGAGAGTACATGTATTTCCTGAAATTGGTCCTATGCTTACCATTCAATCCTTCAGCCTGCTCAGTGAGACTTTGAAGGGCTTTTTGCCGGACAGTCTCTCCCTGCTCCAGCTTTTTCTTCTCTACCTTCGCTGCATCTTCTTTCATCTTATCCATCTCAGATTCCAGCTCCACAATTTCGCCCAGTAGCCGCTCTCGTTCTCCATACTCCTCATCAGTTCCTGAGCTAAAATGTCCAGGAGGGAGATATGTATATAAAGAATCCTTTATTTGCATTTTGGGCATGGCTGAACAAAAAATGTGCCCCGTGAACAAGATCGTGCATATTTTGGATAAAGGTACTCATCGTCAAATTAGATTGAGATTCATTGTCCAGCAAAATTTGGGAAATTTTGGCAGCAGTAGTTCTACAGTATAATGTATGATGCTGTGATATGTATAACAAATTAGCACTGGATCCAGATTTTTAGCCATTCACTACTGCTGGTTACCTCCCCCCCCCCCCCCCCCCCCCCAGCCAACCGCATTTTTTTTTTTACTTTATGCCACTGTTTTTTTTTCTTCAGGAGAAAACAGACAGTTGAACAAGACACAAGTTGACCAGCTTCCGCATCCATTAGCCTAGGAATAAACTTGGGAGTCAATAGAAAAAGATGTTTCTTATAGCTGCATTTTACTGAAGATTCATTTGATAAAAGGTAATAACTTCAACTACCTGAATAAGAAAGTTAAAAGCTGGTACTCACGCTCTTAGTGATGCCAGTTCATCTGCTTTGAAGGCAGACAGAAGCTTTCTGAAGCGGTCTTTGCAACCCCTCATGGTGACTTGGCCATCCGGTCTCATCAGTCTTACAGCCTCATTCAGTTTTTGGGTCAACGTTTCCCATTTTTTGGTGTCACCAATTGGCCAATCAGCTAGCACTTGCTTTAAGACGAGTATGTCCAAAGCAGGGTAAAACCTTGTAGAGGATTTGTTTGCGCTTGAAGTTGAAGCCATCCTGAAAGATAATTATAACAACACTATATGAAAAACTTTGACCGGATAACTGACAGAAAAGCATATACATGTATAAGCTGGTTTAAAAAAACGCACATGCTCTAGTCTGCCACTTGCCGACATGCTAGACCTGTGAACTGGGCTATATTTATATACATACATGACTAGTCACGGTTTGTTTATATGAACTGGACATTCAAAGTGTTTGAAATCCTGGTTGCAGACCCTCCACTTCAATTTCAAAATTATACGAGCACTCTATTTTCAGCATATTCCGTAGGCCTAGCCTAGGCTAAGTTTATCCAAGAACTTCTACTTATAACTTAGTGGCAGTGGCATAGGATCTGTCATTTGTAAGGAAAATCGACAGACGTACGTCTACTGCAGAACTAGAAGGTTTTTGAAAGTCCAGCCTATGAACAGAACGTGGCTAACCACATTCACAGGTCTATACAGCTAAAACGACAGCTAGCACACTTGGGTCAGGTTTGTACTTTTGTAGCTAAGTGAAGTCTATTTCCGACAGCGGAGAACCACTCTGCACCCACTTTTGGTACCTGATTTTGTGGCTAATCTTGTCGTATTCCAAAGTTTTGAAATACAAAGAAATGACATGTACATGTTCAGCAATTAATCTGTTTTAAAATCTAATCATCATATGGCAATAAACTAACAGGGAATTATTAGAAATGTGAAATTTCAATACGCGTTTAATACTTACGTGTAGAGAGCGAGATATCCGTGCCTTGTATACGGATAGCGGATAGCAAGACACTGTGACGTCATCAAAACCACAAAACTGGTGACGTATCCGGCGCGCTAACCGTATCCGTTCGCATGCGAAACCTCCCTAATATTTCGTACGTACGACTTAGTAATTCGTACGTACGGTTAAGTAATTCGTACGTACGATTTAGTAATTCGTACGTACGGTTTAGTAATTCGTACGTACGAATTAGATTTATTCTGAACCATGTCCTATCTACACTTCCATATTAGGGGGATTTTTTTTAAAGAAAAATGGGGAAGACTTACCAGCATGGTTAGGGGGATATTTTTTTTTAAAGAAAAATGGGGAGGATTAGCCGGCATGGCTACGACGATATTTTCTTAAAGGAAATCGGGGAAGACTAACCAGCATGGCTAGGAGGATATTTGTTGGAAGGAAAATTGGGGAAGACTAGCCGGTATGGCTAGGAGGATATTTCTTGGAAAGAAAAAGGGGAAGACTAGCCGGCATGGCTAGGAGGATAGTTTTTAAAAAGAAAAAGGAAAAAAATTGGGGAAGACTAACCAGCATGGTTAGGGGGATATTTCTTGGAAAGAAAATTGGGGAAGACTAACCAGCATGGTTAGGGGGATATTTCTTGGAAAGAAAATTGGGAAGACTAACCAGCATGGCTAGGAGGATATTTCTTGGAAAGAAAAATGGGGAAGACTAACCAGCATGGTTAGGGGGATATTTTTTTTTAAAGAAAAATGGGGACGACTAGCCGGCATGGCTAGGGGAAGATATATGAAGAGGAGTAGATTGAGAAGACCAATTATTATCTGATCAAGGCGAACAAGGATGACTATCATTAGAAATTACCGGAGGAAGCAAGCTGATGAAATTTAAGAATAGAAAGAAGCGACTGTGGTGTGTAAAGCCCGGCTGGTACAGAAATGTTCCTTCAACTTTGGGTTGTCACAACTGCGATGTTCATCAGAAAACCTGGTTTGTGTAGAGATCTATATTTTCTGAAAATTTTCTTGGCCATTGGAATGCAGTTATTGGCTTTGTTGAAGTGCAATCTTGGTCTAGTTGCGCCATCGAATCGCAAGAAATGTTCCTTTATGAAATGTAACGGGTATCTGCATTTCAAAAGTCTCAGTTCAAAGAGTTTAAGCATGAGTGTAATCGCGGATATTGGAAGAGTGAGATTTGTAGCGGTGGCACTCGCCTCTGATTACACTTTTGAAGGCTTGATTTGTAGTTGACGTAGGTGAATTTCTGGAACGGCTTTTGGAAGATGCGGTAGTGTACCTGGTTATAGCTTATAGTATGGTGGTCAATGGATAGTGTAAGATCCAAAAACTTAACAGTTTTGCTGTTAATCACGAAGCTGACGGGGATCGACTTCGGATACAGAGTCGCAAGAACATTGACGACATCCCGGCTAGTGGAGAAAGGTTCATTGCGAAGGATAATAAGTCCGTCATCGATATAATGCACGAACAGGAGTATGTTTCTTTTTCAAAAAGAAGACCAGAACTTGAACTCTTTGTAAGCAAGTACAACGTTTGCAGTTTGTGCTGAATGACAGCTACCCATCTATACTCCTTTCTCTTGTTTGAAAAGGCGTTTGTCGTTTATTTGTTGCCATCTTTGTGTCTGTAAATATTTGTATTTTTTTTTTAAGAAAAAGGAAAAATTTTGGAAGACTAACCAGCATGATAAGGGGGATATTTTTTTTAAAAGGAAAAATGGGGAAGACCAGTCGGCATGGCTAGGAGGATATTATACCAACTGTCGACACTCTTGTACAGATTCTTCCCAACACTTGAAAAAAAAATTATCCGAATTATTCCAACAATAAGGTAATTTAATGTCAATGTTGGAAATATAACATTGCCCATCAGTGTTTTATCCAACTTTTTATTATTGCCTTTGACTTCGTAGAATAATTGTTTTAGATAACGAGACGTCTAATTACTTCGCCAGATTGTTAAAACAGTTAGGAAATATGGATGTCCATGGAAGACCTGCTCGATATTCTCAATCTGTCAAACGTATTTAACACTCATTCAGCCCCGACAAAAGCAGACTTCCGGGATCATATAGCATTGCCTTCCTACTATGTGTACGTGTATGTACTTTCAACAAGCTTGAACAGTGCGTTCATCAAATACACGATATTGAGTATCCGGATCCAGATCAAGAGACATTCCGACGCATTTGTCAACAGCCAAGGCTAGGAGCGGGAAATGGCGTCAGTAGAAAGTGTGTACCTTGTTGCATTTGTGTTGACCTTCTTTATGCCCGGTAGGTATTGACTTTAATTGATTGATACACAAGGAAACCAAAAATCGCAGCTGCTCACAATATTTGTAGTTCAAGGACTTCGATGTATTCATGGGCGTCGCCAGGATTTTTTCTAGAGGGGGGCAAAACATTTTTTTTGCCAAAAAATGCTTGTATTTCTCAACACATTCTCGATTTATCAATTTTAGAAGGGGGCAGGGACATTTTGCCCCCCCCCCCAACTCATTAAATTTACACCACTTTGTCCTCGCGCCTCTTTTTTTTTTTTTTTTTTTTTTTTTTGCTTTTCCAGGGGGGGGGGGGCAAGTGCCCCCCCCCCTTGCCCCCCCCTCGCAACGCCCATGGATGTATTGGACTTGAATGGATGTTTATTGAGAAAAGGTTCTAGGTTTTCTATTAAAGGTAGAAGAAAAGAAGATCATGACTTACCTGAAGACATTCAAACTACATATTACAGCAAAATGAATTATACACACTGCTTTGATAATTGGTTTATTTCAAAATAAACTGTTTTTTTTATCCGTACGAGGAATAGCTTTCCTTCCCTTGTCCTTGCAATTGTTTCTTTCGCAGTCGGCAGTTATAAAACAAGATTTTGGAAAAAAGGGTGACAAGTAGCAGCGTGTTAACGTGTTTGCTGTAATATGTAGTTTGAATATCTTCAGGTAAGTCATGATCTTCTATTCTTCTATTCTTCTTGACCTCCTAGTCAAGATCCCTAGAGGATGTTTCAGGAGGAAACCAACCAAGTAAGTACCAAGTTAACCATCTCTTCACTGGAGTTTATAGTTGATAGTGGGAAGTACTGGTGCTCTGTTATGTATCAGAAATCTGGATTTATGAACCAAATTAATGATGGGTCAACCTCGCTATAATTGTTGTCGGTAAGTATGCTTTGATTATTTTCCAGTTTTACTGTTGTCTTCAATTTCATAATTGTTTCAGTTGATCATGACAACCGCGCGTGATTCGCTGAGGTTTCGACTTTTTACCTTTTGGCCTTGCGAACAAGTGTATGCTGCAACATACAGACCGGACGAACAACTAATGTAAGGTTACCAACGAAACAGAAAAACACATTATCAATAATTGTCTCCTGTTAAACTAAAATCCCGTTGCGTCATTTCGCTGCCTCGGACATTGACAAGGTCCCTCGATTGCGGAGGCTATTTGCCAGTCTTAGCACGAGCTATGCATTAACTATTGCACTCAAACACACTAGAACCAGTCCATGGTATATTAATGGAGTTGAGACCAAAGTGGCTGGGGTTGATTACCAATTCCCGGGCACACCATTTTGACACACATTGTAGACAAATTGAGCGAGGGACCAGGAACGCGAACAGCGGCGTACCAAGATTTACCAAAGGAGTTGTTTAGGTTTTAAAGTCAATTTATTTATTGATTTTTTGAGTGGGGGAATGAGGCTTGCAGTCAAGGTATTAGGGGACCTGTAGCAATGAATCAGGATTTGCAATACTGAGTAATGACGTTATTCCTGGAACTTAAAGGAACATGCGCATTTGTTAGTGTGCATAATCAACATAGGTCAATGGTCAGTCGGAAGGAGGAGGTGGGAGTGACCTTCCCAATACCCCCCCCGCCCCTAATGGATCTGCCAATGGAGAAGTATCGTTTCCAAGTTCCAGCATTGTTCGACCAGAGACGATCGCACTTTGTAATCAGCGCGCAGGCGCAGCACAGCCTGGAATCAACCGCTAGTCATCCACTAATCCCCGATCGAACTTGCCTGTTGATTCATTTCTTTGCGCCCTTGCTGCCCGTTGATAGGTTTTCAGTATCCCTCACAAGATCACCGGATGCAGGTCATACGCATGCCGCCCTCCATAGCTTCCTGTAAAACACTTTTGTCACGTGCGGTAACATAACACATACATTTATAAATCCCTAAGCCTAAACAATCTTTCTTCAAAACAGTTCAACACTGAAAGCGGCATATTTCCGGGATAAAATCGAAGTAATCCCTTCTTTTTACAGTTTTCATTTGACAGGACGGATTAATAGAATAACGCGAACTTCAAGACGGAACAAATATTGTTGTGAAGGACTAAAGGTTCAGTTTTGTTGAGCAGCCACAACACATTGTAGGAAATGAAGCCAGCAGCCAACATTTGCCTCCTAGCGGTAGGACTGTCCTGTTTTCTTACAGGTGAGAACATTTTTTTAAATACATCTACATGTATAATTGTTGAACTCATCTAAGTTGTACACGTTGCACGTATCTTGTTTAGGTTTTGACATGGGAATTATGATTAATTTATGTTGTTCTGGAGTTAAATTGTCATCACGATGAACACGTGCTCAAAGGTAGACATGGGTTGTTTTTTTTCACCGCACACCGGCCTCCGTAAAATTAAATAGTGGGGTTGGCAAGGGGGGGGGGGGCTGAGGACACCATCTTCCAATGGCGGCGCTGTTGAAAACAATTATACGCGTTACACGGGACGTTAAAATAAACAGCGGTTTTCGCCTAAAAATATATTTTTAAATGTTGAAATGGACACTTTTATTAAACCCGCTTATCATGGTTTCGGAATTGTTTCTGTTTGGCAAATTTCCAGGGAGGGGGAGGGCGGCACGGGGGGGGGGGGGGGGAGGGGGACCAATTGATTTTTATTCCCTTCCCGAATAATGTAGCCTTTCCCTACCCACCATATGTCCTTTCCCCTACCACTCACCCAAATTCTTACTGCATCTTAATGTGTTTATCATGTAATTGTTGATTTGCTATTTTATCAATTTTGGGGTTATC